TGCACTTGCAAAGTGCTCAGTCTATCTGCCTTTAGTAAATCCACCCCTAAGTGTTAATAAAAGTCACCTTTGGCCAGATGTATTAACATTGTCAATCATTTCTATTTCCAATTAATAACTTGAAATTTTCACACAATACAAGGCATTCTGTGAATGGAAAATGGCAGAGAAGGGGTCCTGTTGTTAACAACATACAGCATTTCTGTGGACTGAGTGGTGTCAACCCTGCCTGGTTGTCTTTTGCTAAACTACTCAAACCCTTCCACTCTCCTCATCTCCACAGCACAGACCTAAGACATAAATTCAAGTAGCACCCCTGCCCTGGGATGGCCAAATGTAGCACATAGCTCTGCTATAACCAGCTGAGCTGCAATTTACATTTTTATGTCTGATCAGGTTTATCCCTAAACATAGTGGTTGATTGCTTCTGCCTGCCTCTGGAAAAATGTTCCAGAAATAATTTGGGAAGGTCAATGCCTGGGTTGTGAATATATATCTGACCGTAGTCAGTCCCTGAGAGGCTGACCCAGAAGGTTAGGCTTGGGAGAAGATAAATAATTGGGAGAATCGGATCAGATCAGAGCTCTCTTCCCCTAGGGCCTCTTCCCTGGGAGTCAGCATGTGTGTGTTTTAAGAGATGTGAAGGTTGCTGGGTGTCAGCAGGTGTTATGGCTGAGGATCTGAAAGAATCTTGCCTGTGGAAGATAAAAGCTCAGCTGGAGAGGTGGGTGCCTTTCGCCTGAAGCTCAAGGAACAGAACTGCTGACTGAGGAAGAGAAGCCAGAGATTGCTGCTAAGGTCTGTGGTTGCTGGCTAAGGGTCTCAGATTGAATGGCTGTCCATTCTTTCTTCTAGAGATGAGCGAATCGAACATGGCGAAGTGGAATTCGTTTCGAAGATTAGGAAAAATTCGATTCGCGCCGAATCCGAAAATTAGCAAACTTCGGATGCACGAATCGAATTTTCCCAAAAATGGCGGCGACATGTGTGGCGACGGAGCGGGGATCTCTGGGAAGGCGAGCAGACAAGGCGCGCTGACCCATAATGCATTCATTCATGACATGTGATCGCATTAGCCAATCAGCAGCCAGCCAGCCAGCACTGTGTAATGGTGGAGCTATAAATCGCGGCCATCTTAGAATTCTCCATTAGCCTCCGGTCATTCAAGAGAGACAGACCTGTCTGTATTAGGGACAGAGTTAGGGCCACAGAGACTTTAGGGCCACAGAATCGTTACTCAGGGACAAAGAATCGTTACTCAGGGACACAGAATTGTTACTCAGGGACACAGAATCGTTACTCAGGGACAGACACAGAATTGTTACTCAGGGACACAGAATCGTTACTCAGGGACACAGAATTGTTACTCAGGGACACAGAATTGTTACTGAGGGACACAGAATCATTACTCAGGGACACAGAATTGTTGCTCAGGGACACAGAATTGTTACTGAGGGACACAGAATCGTTACTGAGGGACACAGAATCGTTACTGAGGGACACAGAATTGTTACTCAGGGACACAGAATTGTTACTCAGGGACACAGAATTGTTACTGAGGGACACAGAATCGTCACTGAGGGACACAGAATTGTTACTCAGGGACACAGAATTGTTACTCAGGGACACAGAATCGTTACTCAGGGACACAGAATTGTTACTCAGGGACACAGAATCGTTACTGAGGGACACAGAATCGTTACTCAGGGACACAGAATTGTTACTCAGGGACACAGAATTGTTACTCAGGGACACAGAATCGTTACTGAGGGACATAGAATCGTTACTGAGGGACACAGAATTGTTACTCAGGGACACAGAGGACACAGAATTGTTACTGAGGGACACAGAATCGTTACTGAGGGACACAGAATCGTTACTCAGGGACACAGAATTGTTACTCAGGGACACAGAATCGTTACTGAGGGACACAGAATTGTTACTCAGGGACACAGAATTGTTACTCAGGGACACAGAATTGTTACTGAGGGACACAGAATCGTTACTGAGGGACACAGAATTGTTACTCAGGGACACAGAATCGTTACTCAGGGACACAGAATTGTTACTCAGGGACACAGAATCGTTACTCAGGGACAGACACAGAATTGTTACTCAGGGACACAGAATTGTTACTCAGGGACACAGAATCGTTACTCAGGGACACAGAATCGTTACTCAGGGACACAGAATCGTTACTGAGGGACACAGAATCGTTACTCAGGGACACAGAATCGTTACTCAGGGACACAGAATCGTTACTGAGGGACACAGAATCGTTACTCAGGGACACAGAATTGTTACTCAGGGACACAGAATTGTTACTCAGGGACACAGAATCGTTACTTTCTGCTTCACAACCACTATTGAATTAAAGAGTATGTCAGACAACACGCAGAGGAGTGGCAGAGGAGGCAATGTTTCAGGAGCGAGCAGACGTGGCAGCAGAGGAAGGGGTCGAGGCAGCACTAGTCGCAGCCAGAGGCCAGTGCTCCCGGTGTCATCCAGCGGTTGTGTCTCCACCGACAACCCTGCCGTCATCGATTGGTTGACTCGGTCGTCTTCCTCTTCCCAGGTCACCTCTGACACCTACAGCCAACGGTCGGTGGGTACGTCAGACACAACCGTTAGTTGGCATGGCCCGGGAGCAAGCCCACTGAAATCACGTGTCCTCTACCTGCCCCCGTCCTTTGGTGTTCCCTCACCAAGCGAAGTATCGCATGCTGTGGGCTCAGCCCCACTGTACAGTGAGGAAGAGCTAACAGAGGGCGGTCAGGAACGGGGGGAGACATCCGCCTCTTCAGCAGCCAGGCGAAGAAGTACTGGCGAGGAGAGTTGCTCGGTAGCCGGTCTAGAGACAGGTCTGTCTCCTGACCCACACGCAGCCGAGGGGGCTAGTAGTGACGCGGAGACCCTAATTGATGATGATGAGGCTGATCGCACTTGGCAGCCTCGTCGTCATCAGGCTATTGCTTCCGCATCATCAGGAGAAGAGGGTGCCAGCTTGCCAGCGAGCAAAACAGTCGGTGGGTTGCCCAGGAGGCAGCAGGGTCGCAGCAGTGTCAGTGGAGGCAAACGGCCACGGAGTAGAGCACCAGCTCCACTGCAGCCTACCACCACGGCCAGTAGTGGTGCCGGTGTGCACGGAGGAAGTAGCAGTCAGCCAGTGAGGAGTAGCGGGGGCAAAGTTTCCTACTCGGCGGTGTGGCAATTTTTCGTCAAGCCGCCCGAGGAAGTAAACGTAGCCGTCTGTCGACTATGTGGCCAGAAAGTCAACATGGCCAGGGGGCCCATGTTGGGACTACAGCGTTGCGTCAGCATATGCAGCGTCACCATTCGGTGGCCTGGGAAAACCGTGATAAAGATACGGCGGTTCTGCCTGCCCCAGCCCCCGCTCCATCACCCGCTCCGTTACTTGCTCCGTCACCCGACGTCAATCGCCCTCTATCAGCCAGTCAAGGCTCCAACACCTCTGCTGAGGGGAGTTGTCGCTCGTTGGCATCTTCCGCTCGTTCAGATGCTCCTTCTCCTGCTACTCCTTTTCACGGATTCCGTCAGCAGTCTTTCTTGGAATCCGTTTCCAAGAGACAACAGTTTGCGAGCACGCACCCGACGGTGCAGAAGCTGAACGTCCTCCTGTCCAAGTTGCTGGTGCTGCAGTCCCTCCCTTTCCAAGTGGTGGACTCAGCACCTTTCCGAGAAATGATGGCTTGTGCCGAGCCGCGGTGGAGAGTGCCAAGCCGGCATTTCTTCGCCAAAAAGGCAGTGCCAGCCCTACATTCACATGTAGAAGAGATGGTGGGCCAGTCTTTGAGCATGTCGGTCTCTGCCAAAGTGCACGGCAGCGCCGACGTGTGGAGCTGTAACTACGGTCAGGGACAGTACATGTCATTTACGGCCCACTGGGTGAACGTCGACTATCAATAGTCCAATGGCAGAGTGGCGGAGCAGAAGCAGCTTCAATTGAAGGCCATACACAGGCCTAGGTTTAAAAGTCCCTCACAGTTAATCCCAATAACGAACTCTACTCCTCCGTGCAATCTACTTACGAGACCCTGGGCAGGTCTGGGTCCAATTTGTGGTAGAGACTGGTTTTGTTCAGCCATGCTTGAGCGAGTAATAACAGGTCTGTGCTGCCCTTTGGTGTCTGGCTTAATGCGCACAACACTGAACGTCCCAGCGTTTGTCAACGATTTGCCGTTAAGTGATGCAAACCCGCTGAACCACGTTCATGAGGAGCCGGTACAGGGGGCCATGAATCAGTATGGACCTGGCAGCAGCGTGAGCAGACGACAGAGGCACATGGCGCAGGGTGGCGGTGTAGGCAGCATTATTCTGAAGCCATACACAGGCCTAGGTTAAAAAGCGGAAGCCGCCAGCAGCGTGAGCAGACGACAGAGGCACATGGCGCAGGGTGGCGGTGGATGCAGCAGTATTCGGAAGCCAAACACAGGCCTCGGTTAAAAAGCGGAAGCCGTCAGCAGCGTGAGCAGACGACAGAGGCACATGGCGCAGGGTGGCGGTGGAGGCAGCAGCAATGGAAGGCCATACAGCACCCTATCACAAAATGGAACCCACCAACAGTGTAAGGAGACCTGAAAGTGGCACATGGCAGAGTCTGGCGATGAAGTCAGCAGCAATGGGAGGCCGTACAGGGACCCATGACACACTCTGGACCTGGCAGCAGCAAGAGGAGGCGGTACAGGGGCCCATGGCAGAGTGGCGAAGCGTAAGCAGCTTAAATTGAAGGCCATACAGAGGCCTATGTTAAAAAGTCCCCCCAGCAGCAGCGTGGGGAGACGACTATTAGTCGTCTCCCCACGCTGCTGCTGGGGGGACTTTTTAACATAGGCCTCTGTATGGCCTTCAATTTTAGCTGCTTACGCTCCGCCACTCTGCCATGGGCCCCTGTACCGCCTCCTCATGCTGCTGCCAGGCCTGTAATCTGCCATGGGCCCCCGTACCGACTCCTCATGCTGCTGCCAGGCCCGTAATCTGTCATGGGCCCCTGTACCGCCTCCTCATGCTGCTGCCAGGTCCAGAGTGTGTCATGGGTCCCTGTACGACCTCCCATTGCTGCTGTCTCCATCGCCACACTCTGCCATGTGCAACTTTCAGGTCTCCTCACACTGCTGGTGGGTTCCATTTTGTCATAGGGTGCTGTATGGCCTCCCATTGCTGCTGCCAGGCCCGTAATCTGCCATGGGCCCCCGTACCGACTCCTCATGCTGCTGCCAGGCCCGTAATCTGTCATGGGCCCCTGTACCGCCTCCTCATGCTGCTGCCAGGTCCAGAGTGTGTCATGGGTCCCTGTACGGCCTCCCATTGCTGCTGTCTCCATCGCCACACTCTGCCATGTGCCACTTTCAGGTCTCCTCACACTGCTGGTGGGTTCCATTTTGTCATAGGGTGCTGTATGGCCTCCCATTGCTGCTGCCTCCACCGCCACACTGTGGCTCCACACTCTGGTTTTGGCCCCGTGACTGCCCAAATGAGTGAAGTGTGCGGTGATTCTAAGATCGACGGCACTCATCTGCATGTCATACTGACTGACAGTATTATTTCTCTTCCCCAGCAGACTCCAAGGGCATTTAAATTAAAGGTACAGTGTTCTGCACTAATATATAAAGGCTCTCTGAAGCCTAGAAAAACCCTTTTTACACGTTAAATTCGCAGCGAATATATTCGCCTCGAATCGAATTTATTCCGCGAATTCGGCGAATCAGCCGAATCGAATTTTTGAATAATTCGCTCATCTCTACTTTCTTCAGTACCATTTTGAAGTTGCTACTAAAGGGCCAAATACTGCTGTAACAGGATTTTTCAGGGAATCTGTCCTCAAAGACTTTGTGGCCTGAGAATCCTGCAACTGTAAACCCTTTGTCCAAGATCTGCAATAAATCTTCAAAAGAAAATCCTAGACTGAGCCTGAGTTTTTTGGTGTGTGCTTCTGGGACTGGAAACAGGTCCCCCTTACCTCTGAACAGGTAAGGGGGACCCAATCAGGGGCAGACTGACAACTCATGGGGCCCCCAGGCAATAGGGGATCATGGGACCCCTGTGTCCTTGCCCAAACTCAAAAAAGCCTATGAAAAAGGTACCAGGGGCATCTCATGGTGCCCCCTACTGACACCGAGCCCTTGGGCAGTGCCCGAGTTTCCAAATGGTCAGTCCGCGTCTGGACCCAATCTATTTCCAGTGGTAGCACTACAGTTAGGACAGCTCTGAATTTCTGAGACATCAAAAGGTATTTTGTACTTTATCAAATATATATAACAAAATGCTTTTAAAGGCATATTTAACAGAGCAATATAAGCAAAGCAAATAAGAAAAGTTCACAGAACAAAAAGTCATAGCACGATAGCAATGAAAGTATGTTTACAAGAGATAATTTCAGTTCTATAGAACGTCTATAGAAATGTTCCCTTTGTCACTGAACCCTAGTGTAAAGCTTTTGTAAGAAAGTATCCATGCAGACCTAGAAAAATTGTGGTACTCAATTACAAATAAAAACTTTACATAGAAAAGAAAAAAAGTAGTGAATTGCCTGATGTCGCTATAGCAATTAGGATTTTGGATAAGGACTTTAAACATTTTAATGGATAGCGATAAGTATGAGGATAAAAGATACAATAAAAAAGATACAATGAAATAAAAAAAATTAAACTGGAAATTAAAA